GACAGAATGGTTTAAAACCCACATCAAATTGCTTCTGACTCGCAAATTAAATATATTAAAGCTTCTCATTGAGAAATCAATCAGGTGCATCTTACAATATAATACACAACTAAATCTATAAGAATTTATTTCCTAGTAAAATGAATGGATTTGGAGAGAAAAGAAACTGTTTTAAAAGTGTGACTTGACTCTTGGCTTGGGACATCTCTTGGAAGACTTGAGACATGAAACTTCATGAACTTGGGACTTGACTTGGAGGTGTCTTAGATCATTTGTGACATGTTTTGAATGACAACTTAGACGTTTTCAGAGAGTTGAAACTTGTCTTGTTCCTCGTCCTAACAGATCCAAGAGTTGACGTATAGTTTTTTTTTTTTAATTACCAGAGACTTGACTTGGACTCGTTTTGGATGACTTCAGAAACAGTTCTAGTTGACGCTGACTCCACCTGATCTTATATAATGTTCCTTTAATTGTTACGTGGCAGCACAACAAGATCTCAAACACTGCTACTGTCACTCACTTGTTTCTCTCCCAGGCTCTGCTCATCACAGCAACACAACATCGTCAAGTTTAATTCTTAATAAGTTGTGGCCAAAGAAATTTCTGACATAACTGCTGTATTGTATTCTGACACTGGCCTGTCCAAATTACAATGGAGCAGAACTGAAACAATTAATAACATTTGAAAATCTCAACTGTTTCCATTGGGAACAAAACTGTCCAATGTAAATTAAAAACATCTGCGTGAACTGACCCTTTAAAAATGTGCTGCATGTACCTTTAACCTTGCATATTTTACAATTTAGAGCAGAGTGACCTCATGGTGGTGTGAAGAGGATGTTGGTACTTGGTATTAGCAAAATCGAAAGTTGAACCTGAGCCAATGACAATCAAAATAACTTCAGACGAAGTAAGATCACATGTGTATTAGCCAACCAAAAAAAAAAAACTGTCCAGCAGATTTGCCTCTAAAACCAACATAGTGGATCACAATGTAAAATACAGGGCACCAGTCGTCTAAACTCAATCGTATATCATGGTGCATCCAGGTGGAAGAATGTGTTTGTCTTCAAATGTCTGGGTGTGCCGCCGCAGCACAGTCAGAACGGGTGTGGCATCGCTTCTCAATCAAACACCTCATGAGCATTTATCTGTGACTGCAGTGACTCAAACAGCAGGAGTAACTCAAATTGGTAAATCATCAGTGAGTACTGACGATATTCTGCTGCACTCAATAAAATGAGCTGAGCTGAGGAAACTATTTTTCTATAAAAACCAAAATACAGGAAGCAGACTAGGAAAAAGTGGGACTGAGGATATTATTCAAATGTTTTTCAGCCTACAACAGAGACCTTGTGTAAACCATCCCAGGGGCGAAGGCCGAGGCATTCAGGAAGTGATTATCAGCTCAGGAAAGAGTTTGGTGGTGAGACTTTTGCAGGTGCAGGACCAGATTGGTGACCTGTAAAAACTTATCAATGAGGAGATAACTCAGATAAACCAGAGAAGCCTGTGTCACAATATGTATTGATGGTTGGGACTGTACAAATTAATAACAAATTATATCCTGGCAGTGATACAGCGTGTGACAGAGATGACAGAGGTGACAGGAGTTTATTAACCCTTCAGTGAATGTAAGCAGATACTGTTCACTTAACTAGAGCTCATTCTGCCAGGAAGATGGCAAACACTTTCAAACCCAGTGAGTGGAAACTGGAGACTAGTTATTCAGTGTACGATCATAAAGATCAAGAATCAAAGAAAAGCATCACATCCTGACATTTGAAAAGCTGGAACCAGCTAAAAATGTGGTATTTTTGCCTTTAAAAAATGACTGAAATGATTATTTAACTGGCAAATTAACCACCAAGTGATTAATTAATTGACAGTTCCACACAGATAAAAGCACAATTTTGCTTTATTGAAATGTGACACTTATTTTAGAATAATTTATATATCTTAACAAAAATAAGAAAAGGTTTTTCTTTTTTCTACTTTCTTAAGTAAAGATTTCATGTCTTCATCAGCTGAGCCGTGTGTCCGTCATATTCACCTGTTTATCTCTGATCTGTGAAAATTCAAAGCGCACTGCCAGAAATAATTAGTCAGTGCTACATGGACAACATGCTCACACTGCTAATGTTCTGCAACGGCTGCAACGTGGTTCACACGCACACACACTGTTCTCACCCTGCAGCCGACCACTTTCCCGCTCTGACAGCTGAGAGTGACAAACTAATGCATTATCTGGGGCGTTTTAATAGCAGGTGGGTGTGATGATTAATTCGACTGACACATGCACTCAAAACAAAAAATACAGAGACGGATGGCGACATTAACAGGAATCGATTACTCAAGACAATCCAGGGAAAACCCATCAAGTCTGGACTGATCCTCACGTTCAGCCAGAGAGGAGCGGATCTCAGAGCGTCGCAGAGACCGGACAACACCTCTCCAAATTATGTCCAATAAAAAAAAGCTGCTCATGAGTCCACGTGTTTTTTTTTCACATTTAATTTTCCATATAAATGAAATATGTACATTTAACAGATATTTATTCATTTATGGGGATAATAAGGTGGTTTGAAGGTGGTTTATTGGTGGCATACACAGTGAAACTTTAATTTTAAGAAAACCATTTGAGCTGTAGGAGTTACTCAAAGAAGTTTGGATGCGTATGTTGTCTTTCAGTTTCACTGGCAGCAGGTTTTAGCCTGTAGACTCTTGCACTGACCAAATAATATGAGCTCTGCTGCTTGAAAGTTTTGTTCCCGCTTTGTTTCTAATATTGATGGTTATAAAGCCAGACTTTTACACTATACATGTGTTTTTTTGTTGCTAATTGTAGGATATTATCTTTAATAATAACTATATGTGCTGTCTGTTCTGTGTTGTTTTTGCTGGTGATTGTTATAATTACATTATTTACTTAGAGTCGAGAATTAGCAATAGTTTCATGCCTTGTTTTAAAACTATGTAAGACTGCATTGTAACTATCAAATAAGTGAAATAAAATGAAAATAAACTCACGTCCCTCGTGCTCTGCTGCAGGTAAAGCACTTCGGACTCCTGGCTGCCGACGCTCAGGTGAGGCATACTCTGCAGATACACCGGGGACACACACTGCATCATGGGCTGAACCGTAGGCTGCTGCATCAGGTAGTAGGACTGCTGCTGCACGGCCTGCTGCACCGGCATCAGGTACCGCACCGTCTCGTAGGAGCCGTTCTGCACGTACGGCATCGGGGACACTGACCCGGTCGAGATCACCTTTCCGGTCACCGTCTCCGGAGACGCCACGTTCACGGTCCGGTAGGTCCTCGTCGTCGTCTTCTGGCTCGTCTGGAGAGACATCTTGATTGATCGGCGGAGCGGATCAGGTTAAGACCCCCCACGGAACACAACAACAGCAGAAGAAGAAAGTTGGAGTTTTTCTCAAAGCGGAGGTGAAACCACTTCAGGCTCCTCGGGTTGTTTCCCTCGTTGTGACGGTTTTTTGTTTTCAGGTGTCGCGGAGCGGAGAGGTGAACCGCCCCAGTTTAACTTCCTCCTCTGCTGGGCAAACTAGAGAGGTAAGTCCGGTTAGAGGAGTCCTTCCATGGAAAGCTCAAACCAGACTGGGGAGGGAGGTGCTCCGCGCTGCCGGTCCGTGCATCGAGAGGTGGGAGGGCCCAGAGACAATGTAGCTCACAGCTGGCACAAAGTTCAACCTGACACCGCGGTGAAAATTAGATCACACTTTTTATTGTGTAGTTACAGGAGGAGGGAGTTTGGCTCCAGGTCCTGACCCTTTGTGTACGTGTGTGCGTGTGCGTGTATGTGTGTATGTGTGTGTTTAGTGCAGGTGCTCTGGTTTCCTTCCACATTACCGAAAAAACATACAGGTGCAGTGGACATTTTAATTGTTAAAATGAGTTCTCCTTGTCAGAATGATCTTTTATTCAGTCAGATTTACTTCATAGTGAAATCACCTGCAGGGGGTCAATTAAAGGTTATTTAGCTGAGTCAGCCACTAGGTGGAAACAAACCTCTACCAATCACAGACAAGTGACCTGTTGCATGGTTGAGCACAGGTGCAACTAACAGCACAATAACCAAGATATTTGCCTGCACTTCAGTTTAAAAAAATGAAATAGAGCACTAAATTGTGTACAATAACTAAATAGATAAAATATATTGAAATAAAGATAGAAATTTGAGATAGAGCCATAACATGATTATATTATGCACTACACAGTGATAGTAATATACAACACATTGTATGTTTAAGTTATGAATAATTTATACATATACAAAGGACATACAGAGAGAGCTCAATCAGCAGCTTAGTCTGAAATATGACATATGATGGATTGTGTAATAAATAAAAGTCCATGTGAGCCAGATCAACCTGTTAAGCCGCACCTGTTGTCGGCCCCTTCTGACCCCCCACCTACAGCCCTCTCAGTATGTACCCTGCTGCCTCCAAGTTCCCATTAAGTCCAGTGCAACCAGAACTCCTGTGCTGGAACAACACTTAATTTGTCAATACTTAGTTTGCAGTAATTTGATCAAACACAACTTTATTTAGGAATACGCTCCACATGACTAACTAAAACTAGAATATTAGAGGTAAAAAAAATTGAATAAAATGTGAATGACACGGACAGATATAATCCTGAAATTGTGAAATAATCAAATCATTTCTTATGAAATTGTATTTCATCCTGCTTATTTTCACAATGATAGGTTTTATTTTATTTTTTATTTTTTTATTCCACTCTGGTAGTTTACAGTCTGATTTCATCAGTCATGTTATTTATTTCATATTGTGTATTTTAATTTTGTCATCGTGCACGCTGGCTTACTAAAATAAACTGCACCATTATCAATAGTATTGTTTATACTATATTGATTACACCTGCTTTTGTCGCCATGGTAACTTAAACCGTGAGAAAGGTCTAAATGCGTTTAACCTCCACTCTCGCGATGTGCTGCGAGAACATCAACGTATTGAAGCCCTCAATCAGGAAACGTCTTTTATTTATCGGACAATAATGGCAGCTACCCAACGACTCCGTTGTTCTCTACGCGGACAAGTCGACATCAGAAGGTCGCCAATGTTTCGGAGGTCGCTCTGAAGCCGCCATTACACCCGGTGAGAGAAAGCAACGTAGATTATGTTGCCGGTACACCGTTGACAAAATGTCGTTAGCCTACAGCTGTTTGGCACCTCGTTGTCCTTCAACGCCGGCTAGCTCCGTTATTTCTCGAGCCTACCGGCGGCCACCAAACTGCACTCAAAAATAGATGGATTTAAAGACGCAACGTCTCTCGGTTGACGTATGTAAATGTTAGAACTCGATTTCAGACATTTTACGAATGTTTAACAGCCAATCTTCAAATCGGGATGATAAAATACAACATTCAGTCGCTGTTTTGGTAAAAAAAAAAAAAAGAAAAGAAAAGAAAAGAAAAAATGTAATCCAGGCTCCTGTGTTTCCTCCCTCGTCGAAACCGAAACGCACATCAGTCTACAAGAATTGTATATTAGCCTGTAAAAATTGCTTGGAAATAAACCTGCGTAGGTAATTGATTTATTTGATGAATTGCAATGACATCATGTCAATCTCAAAAACGCCACGCGGTAATGTACCCGTTATCCTCATTGTGCAAAACCTTAAAATGCTGAATTTTTGAATGGGGTTTTGCGTATACGGGTCTGTGGCCTCTATCGTGAACAATGTTGGCAGAATTTGTCACATTATCTGCTGTAAGTTAATTTTATTTGAGTTTGTGATGCGAATGTACTAAAGGATTAAGTTTATAATACTAATTAGATAAACAATAAATTGTTTATATGGCGCTAGCAGCTTGTTTAGTTCACCAATGCTAAGCAATCAAAAAATAATGTATTTCGAAATAGAAACCTCATCTCAATATATCCATTCATATTTGTGACCGTTCAAAGGTGCCAGTGGTGTTTCTATGTGTGTATGCATATATTATTTGTATGTATTTCACAGATATTCTCTGGCGATTGTAATCGTTTATTCCTTGATTCAGAGTGAAATTATACGAAATGTTGAGTTTAAGATAAGAGCAATGTGTCTTGTTCAGAAAAGGCTCGCAGTTTCTACATGATTTCATAATTTCATTGCTAATAAGTTTGCTGTACAAGCTCTAACCCCCACAAGTGAAGTTGTTAGCTTTTATTTTGAAGTGAATCTCTGGTCCCTGTCATGGATGCAGCGCCACTGGAGTTACGTAATCCAGCCTGCCTGCCGCCATCCTCTGTAATAATCCTGCTTGCACCCACTGGTTATAACAGGGGATAAACTCCCTTTGCCATACATGTTGTTATTCTTATATATAAATTTTCCCTTTTTGCTACATCATATACTTCATTTTTTATTTGTTGAAGTGACCTAAAAACAAAACCTAGTTTAACATCTTTAACTCTGCCAGTCTATCCAAACAAGAACATTAATAGTTTAAACCCACAGATGTAAATTTTGTTTGTGTTAATTTGCAAAGGCTGTCAAAATGCAAGGTTTAATTTTGAATAAAAATGTAGAAAATGATGTACAGCACATCTAGAATATTTAAGTTTGATGGAATGATGCAGCCATACAAAACCTGGTGTCTTGAATTTGAATTTTGTATCAAATTTGGAAACGGCTAAGTAAAGAATTCAAGAAAAATGTCATGAAGTTTGGCAAAACATATTTTCTTTTGACAGAAATCATAACAGAACATATTAGTGAGAAATGAGGTTTAAAAAAAACGAGGCAAAAGAGTGAAAACATTTTCTCCAAGTCAGAGTAAACAAGGGTTTGCCTCCAAATGAAATGGATGAGACTGTCTCAAGGTTGACCTTTGATCTTATGTCTCTTTAGTTGCTTCCCTGGCCTTGCTGCTCACCCACAATGCATTGCCAGAGGCTTTTGTGTGTCTCAGACATACCAATGTAACCGTTGCCACCACTCCACCTTAAGCACACCACAACAACACTGCAGAAAGGTAGGAGGCCGTTGACCGTTATTTGACTCTGTCTGTCTGCATCCCTTGTTTACTGCTGCTGTAATCTAAGGCAGATGCTCTTTCATTCTATTGTTTTCTGTTAATTATGTCTGCTCTGTATATAGATGGAATAATATGAAAACCTCTCTCTGTCTTGTTTTGTCCAGGTCCTGCCCTGGTTGGTCTTGTTCACTTTCAAACTGAAATCATGTCTGGCTCAGGCGACTTACCAGGTGAGTAGTGGCAGTAGTTTGGGAAACACCCCTTACTGTTTCAACATGACAAAGCCTTTATGGACAAAGCCAGGGCCATAAAGAAATGGTTGTCCCAGTTTGGTGTGGAAGAGATTCAGCACAATCAAAGACCTTTGGGAGGAATTAGAAACAGTGACTGTGAGCGAAGCCTTAATTTTGTAACATCAGTGTTGGACTTCACTGATGCTCTTGTGGCTAAATGTGAGTAAATCTAGTGCAAAGCTCTCCAAGAAGAGAGGAGGCTACAGCAGCAGATGGCCATGATTTTGGAACAGCATGGTCGGCAATGTTTGGATGTCCACTATGGCTGAACAATAAGATATGCAAAAAAAAAAAAATCATATTGCAATTATTAAACTGCTGCTCCTGTAATTTGGGTAATATGATGCTCTTCCTCGCCTCATTGTTCCTCCACTTTCTGAGAAATTGGTTTTAGTTGGTTTTTGTTTACCTCTTATGTTGCTTCACTAAATCCTTCAGGATGTTTTGTATGGGCAGACGCCACAAAGCAGAATTCTGGTTTTCAACCACAGACTGGAAGGAGACAAATACACCAGAAAATACAGACTAACATGTTGCGTCACACAAAGCAGGGGATTACACAGATTGTTTTGTCTCTCACACCAGACAAATGTTAGGTGACCGGAATCGCACACAGTCACAGTGTGAGACACTGTTTGATCAAATCTATTTATATCTGTAACTGCCTGAAATGAACAAGAACAAAAAGATGTGGTCTCATGGTAGCATGAAATTGGAGCTTCCAGCTGTTGCAGTCATTTCATAACAGTAAACCAATATGCACTGAAGATTTATAAACCTACTAATGCTGCGTGTTCCTAGGCTCAGGTTTCCACATGGGAAAACCTACCAACAGGTGAGGCAGGTAATGTCTGTCCCACCTACTGCCCATGAGTGAGCAGCCATAATTTGCACATAGTAGCCCGCTGCAGTGATCTGTAGTGCTGTAAAGGGACAGATATCAACAGATAGGAAAATATAGGGTATTGCCAGCCTTATAATTTTACATGTAGAAATACTTAACTCTGTATCTGAAACCTCCATAATCCATTATCGTGAGGAAGCCTCTGAGTTATACGCTCCCAGTTTCACAAAGTGAAGAAGAAGCTGTTGTTTAGTTGCTGCTGTCGTTTGCGTCCGCAGCCATCGAGGGTTCCGGGATGGGCGGGATGAAGCTTCCCATCGGGATGACCCGACGAGCCCTAAGCTACGACGACAACCTGGAGGCCCCAATGTCCACGCCCCCCCACGACATCAGCATCAACACCCTGTGGAGACGACCCATCATTCCAGAGAGGAAGTTCACACAGCTGGCTGAGGTGAGACACAGCTGTCTTCTCATTATTATCACATGTTTTGTTGTCATGATGATGATGATGATGATGATGATGATGATGTGTTGTTTCTACCAGGAGGATGAGAGTGGTGCGGTGAGTCATTCTACAGTGCCGGACAGCGCCGCCTCCAGGTCACCAGGCGTAGTGAAAACCAAGGCGTCCTCCATCATCATGAATTCCCTCATCACCAGTATGTTACATCTATTTATGACAATAATATACTGTTTATATTTACCCTGCCACAGACCCTGTAAATGAAGTAAAGTAAATAGAATAACAGGAAAGAGATACTGTCACTTTAATTCATTACTAAATGTATTAATTCTCTCTCCTCTCAGAGCAGACTCAGGATAGTATGTACAATTTTGAGCAGAGGGCGGGGCTCACCGACAACAGCTACACACCGCACAAAGGCCTCACCGCTGAGGAGACGAGACACCACCACCGCATACCCGAATCCCTCCAGGTAAAGATAAGCAACTTTAACACACACACACACACACACACACACACACATCTACAACCGAGACGCAGCTGATTACTTATGATAAAGTGGGTGTTCCGGCCAGAAACCGGCCCTGCGGAGAAACAGTTTAATGGGCTCCACTGGTGGCGGCGTGCTGCTTCATGTTCTGGTGAGACAAGAAATAAATTTAGAAAGTCCAATTTGGATAAAAGATCCATTAGTCTGAAGACTTATCAGATGCTGCACAGCAGTTTATATCACTGAGAGACAGGATTTTACAACTCTGGAACGTTGCCATGGAGACAATCGTTTTATCTTTCGCTGGCTGACAGTAGAAATGTGATCTTGCAATTAATTAGATGAATGGCGCAAAATTTCACTTTGTATGTCTATTGTTTCATTCTCTTGTATGTTTTTGATTTAATCCCCCTGAACGCTCCATGTAGAGGGGCTGTGTAGTTGTAGGATGACTTCTTAATATGAATTTAATGACAACTGCAGAGCTCTGGCGATGAAATGTACCTCCCTGTACATCTACAATTTTACTCACTTACCCATATTTTACTCTTATCCTGTGTTTTATTTGAAGTGTTGATCCATAAGAAGAAATATTTGTGGTTTTAAGAACCAAAAAAAATTTTTTAATGTAGTTTTACATCTCCAGGCTTCTCTCTGGAGCGCTAGTAACAACAGGTCGGTGAGCCAATCAGAAGAGAGACTCTGATCCTCTCTTCTGATTGGGTGACTGTTTTATGATTTATCTACGGTAATAAAAATATAGCTGATTTCAAGTAAACACTCAGAGAAACCAAATCCTGCAAGGTTGGATGGTGGGTCCAGGTGGGTGGGGCTTGGGGCATGGCTGAGAGTGGTGACTGCTTTGTTGTGACATCACAAGGTTACAGAAGTCCCGACGGCTCGTTTTAGGACTTGGTTTCTGAATACAGGCTGTGTGCATTTCTCTGTGGACTGAGCGCTTTGATACTTTCACATTATTAATATTGAACCTAGACCTGCTTTATAATCAAAACAGACATGGAAATCTACCGTTATACAATATGGGAGCTTTTTCTTTTGTTATTGCTCTTCAGAAACTACAGATCCAGAGCATGGAGGCCAGAGAAGAGCGACAGAACTCCTCCGCTCAGTCCACTCCATCCAGCACACCACACAGCTCCCCAAAACAACAACGCAGGTACACACACACACACACACACACACACACACACACACACACACACACACACACACACACACTGTCCTGTGGCCTAAATCCTGTTTGAGTCTGTCCATCCTGACCCAAAAAAAGGGATTAACACTGAAAATCAATAACAAGTTAACTGTATGTTTGTGTGTGTGTGTGTGTGTGTGTGGTTGAGTGTGTGTGTGTGTGTGTGTGGTTGAGTGTGTGTGTGTGTGTGTGTGGTTGAGTGTGTGTGTGTGTGTGTGTGTTTGTGCAGGAGCTGGTTCAATAGTACAGGTTCAGAGCTCAGCATCAGCTCCTCCAACAGCAGTGTGGACATGGGAGTGGGAGACATGACAGCAGCAGGAGGAGGAGGAGGAGTGGGAGGTGCGGTTGAAAAGTGGGGCATCTTCACGCCCCGTCCACTCGTCCAGAAATCGACCTCTGACCTGGGATCAGACTCTACAGCTGCAGGTGAACAGCACTCCTTCACAGTGAGACACTAGATCCTGAACCCTGGTGTAAGAACAAAACCCCAGAAAGTTTCCCTTTTTTCTCACACCGAAACAGCCACATTTAAGTTCATAGAAGTTTAAAGATTCAATTATTCATTGATTTTCATAATTCCCATGACGTCATTTTTTTTTACTTTGATCAAATAAACCACACAGTAAAAGCTCAAATAAACCACCGTGAACACAGCTGCCAAGACTCGCTCATGTTTGCATGATCGTAAACAGAAACTCTGTGAAAGGTGATTTCAGGTAATTGTTCACGGGTGAACAAACGACCTTCAGACCGACGGTAAATACTGACTTACATTTGGAGCTGACAGTCCAGTGAGTCTGTTCACTCATTGGCTTTTGCCAAAAGTGGAGAAGAGGTTCTCTGCTTCATAAAAGCCACGTCAGTTTTAGATCGTTGACGGCTGCTGAGAAACAACATCTAGATTTTCACATGTGGGACGTTTCAGTTTGTTTGGAAACTATCAAAATCTTTTTTCCAGGATGACTTTCGGTAGGTCATTTACAAAAAATGATAGAAGTTTAGTTTGAGGAGAGAAGTAACGACGGAGAGAAAGGTCTGTAGACTCGACTGCTTGATATAATGTACAAGGCTGGACCGTAGGCTCCACATAAATATGCATAACTGGAAATATACACAAACAGATTATATTGATGATTTGCATTTATTGATTGAATGCCTATCTAACTAGAATACACAGAGATCTAAAAATTTTTTGGTTTAAGGAATTAATATAAAATGATGATCTTAAAATACATTCAAAAGACCTTTTAAGAAATATCGTATTTTATCTTTATAAAAAGTTAAACTTCAAAACTATTCATATTAAACTTTTCAAAGCCAGAGTTACAAAGTGCCTCACAGTTACAGAGAGATGATAAAAAGCATGTGAATAAAAGAACTTATCACAGCAAGAGTGTATCAATGAAATGCCTTTGAGGACAAATAGAAATAGAAGGGAAATTTTACAAAAGAGGATCATGTGTTAATGTGTGAATGTGTGTGAGTAGTATAACATTTTAATTAACAATGTTACATTTTAAACATTTATGAACTCTTCTTTACACAAATTACATTCATTTATTTTTTTAATATTATTAAATTTAAATACACTAAATGTTTCCTACTGTAATGTGGTTGTAGTATTACATTGTAATCCTCTTACCTAGTTAAACCAAAGTTTGTCATTGCAGAACACACACACACACACACACTCAACCACACACTCACACACTCAGTCACATTCAGTGTGTGCAATCAGGTATGAAGACACACCTTGAAAGCCTTGTTATCTAAATCCTTTTCTCTTTTCCCAGCAGGCTTTGCACTGCAGGCGTACCGTGGGGCGCAGAAGCCGACCCCCATGGAGGTGATGAAGTCGCAGGCCACGCGGCTGACTGACAACGCCTCCGCTCAGAGGGTGGCCCCTCCCAAAATGGAGATTCCCACAGTGGAAGGTCGGCGGCAGGGAGCGCGACCGCACAAGCTCAAACCCAGAGACATGAACATCCTGACGCCCTCCGGCTTCTGAGAGGACACACGACATCTGTCGAGGCTGCACGTCGCCCAGACGCTAAAGGTCCCATGAGATGAAAACCTCACTGTTGTTTCCGTGTGTCCCTGTGTGTACTGTCACACAATCTGTTATTACTTTTAGAATATGTCGCAGTGCATTTCATTTATTACTAAGACAAAATCATTTAATCTTCAGTCAAAGATTTTATAGATTTTGAGGCAAGTTTGTTTAAAGTAAAGTATAAATCCTGCAGGTCTTACAACTACAATACGTCTTATATATATTATCTATATTCATAGTTTTATTATGTTAGCATGTTCTCAGATCTCAAATTACTTTAATGGTTAAAACCACAAAGCTAACTGTTGCTAGCAGTATATGCATATGTTAATATTTGCAGCAACATCATCAATATTGTTCGTATGTTTGTCCTTTGACAAAGACTTAAACATTTCTTGCTTTCATGCTGATCTTGATGATATTTTCCTCCTCTTCCTCTTCCTCAGTAGCAGTTAGCTTGGAGGTGAAAACTTGCAGCTGTGCAACCTCCAAATTATTTCATGGGACCTTTTTAATAGCAGCTCCGACATTCAGATAACCACTGAACTGTCCACCATCTTCGCCACTAAAACAATTATGGATATAATAAAAAATAAAATTTCCCATCTGCACTGCTTGTAGGCGTATATAGTGTTGCTTGGCTGTAAAATCTTACTCTTGACATTTCTCGTATTCTTCACTCTGTTAACTGTAACATTGATCTGCAGCACGGTGGCTGAAATAGAGCATGAATCTGCCCCCGAGTCTAGATAAGATGGAGGGAGACTGTCAGAAGGTGAAGATGATGGCGATCCTGTTTTAAAATGATTCCCTGTAAATGCACTTTATCCCCACTCCTCCCACCACAGACTCGATCAGCGCGATTATCCAACCTGACCCAAACCCGACTGTGTTCCAGGATTCAGATTAATGCAAGAAAACGTTCTCTGCTTCAGTGTTGATAGTCTTAACATCTTTTCATTCATATTCTTAAAGGGGCATTTCACTAAGCAGGGTGGAGAGAGTAAATCTAACCAAATCCTAACCAACAGAACAAAAAAAACAAAAAAAAAAACAAAAAATCCAAAACAAGTTGTAAAATGTTTGACTCAGGAAATGTAGGAAATTTGGCAGGCTCCTGCTCACTGAAACGTTCCACTTGTTTGTTTTGTAACAGTTTTATTAAGATGTTTTAATGTATAGATGAAGTTTTTTTTTTTTTTTTTTTTTAATCTACTACTGTAGCAACAGATTTTATTTCGTTGGGATCAGAAGGAAAAAAAAGAAAAAGTGCCCACCTGGTGTGTGTATGTGTAAAAACCCGAGCTACATGTGACTCGCACACTGACGCCGCCTGCAGGTTTTAAGGCGTCTCTCGGTGTGCTCAGTCTACATGTCTGCCTCAGTTTTTTACCAGCAAATATGAAGGATGTTTGGGATGAGTTTTGGTGCTGAGCCGCTGAGAATGTGCACGCTGGCTGAAGAGAGAGCTGGTGAGAGCACCGGCTGCGTCCTGCAGAGATCTTTGTGGGGGTTTTTTTAATATAAAATAAAAAAGAGGTTGCTTTTGGTTGTAAAGATGAATCCTGTCATCACATTGTGAGGAAATGACGGGGAATAACTGAAAAGGTTTTATTTCAGAGACTGCAGTGATTAGTTTCTTCTCTACAGTTGTAGTTTTGCAGTTAATAATTGATTTTATATGCAAGGTTTCTGCAAGATGATGTGTATGAAGCTTAGAGAGTGACTATGATTCACTTGTTAAATGAAAATGTAGTTCCTGGCTCATAGTTATTATTATTATTGCACTTTTATTATTAAATGGAAACAGTCTATTTGCTGGTGACACAGTAGATCCCATGTGTAATGTGACCCAGCAGTGGAGAAGTTTATCTGTTTAATGGAGTCACCTGTAACTCTGCTGTGGTGTCAGTCGGGTGTCGTGTGGTCCCTTCTCATTGTGTGTGAACAATCCTAAAAGCTGGACACAGAACAAAACGTCACTCCAGCTGCCAGCGGCTGTAAATATTAAATGAATATGACTGTTTTCTGCTCAGTTAAACGTTGTTATGTTTCAGAGTTTGTGTTCACAAGTGCTTTGTGTTTTTAAAGTGTGACGCTGGTCCCTTTAAATCTCCTCCCTGTCTGAAGCATCACGTCTGAATTTCTTCTGTGTGATGATGTGACTCTGTAGTACAGACTGACTGAATTATTGTATGTTTCTCTTTATATGTTAATTTTTTCTTTTTCAAGAGACATTTTCCTTGATTTATACAGTCTCTATACAGTTTATTTTTCTTTGCCAAAACAGTTTGAAATTTGAGAATAAATGTTAAATTCTCATCACAAAAAGAACAAGTGCACAAGTGAAAAAAGTTTGTTTTGTTTTTTTTTGTTTTTTTGCAACATTTTGCACGACATCTCCACTGTTTTCTTCCACTGAGTTTGACAAAGTAAAACAGTTGAAGTTTAGCTGTTTACTGTCATATAAATATTCCCTGTTGATCTGTAGTTCTTTATTTCAGCCTCTAGAGAGCCTTAGTTCACCACCCAGTACCAACAGTTCTCATGTTGATTCATTATAACAGGCAGTTATTAGGAATAAAGAACAAAAACAGGTACATCTTAAACAAATTTGCGTGTAAACAACTTCTTCCACAATGAAAGGTGTATAATGTCTTTGTGGCAGCGTCTGATTGGATATTTGCTTGTTGTTCCTCCGTCATCATTCTTCCTGTCGCGTTCAACAAGACAAATTAAATCAGATTGTATTTCTCATCCTGAGTTTCCCAGCAGACCTCAGTGATTGACCAAGTAAAGCAGATAATCTCTTATTTTATAATCAACCAGCTCCACTGGACACATGCATGTTTGCAACTGACAAATACACTGAAAAGATTTACTGATTCAATTCTGTGTGGAAAACCAGAGTTAGTATTTTATCAGAGAAGTGTCTTCATGCAAGAGTGAACAGCACATTGTGGTATCTTCATGTTTGAGAGGGCTCTTGTTAACGTTCAGTGTTTGAGAACAAAAACATCTTCCCCCTGCTTCTGTTGGAGTTCAGTCTCAGTCTATTTCCTGCACAGAAAGTCATTTTAGTTTCTGAAAAAAAAAAAAGAAGTAATTTAGTCCAACATCCAGTCAATATTATAGCAAAAACCAGTCTGGTAGCCAGCGGGGAAAACATCCAGTTGATTCAAAGATCCTTGTCTTAAAGTAAACCAGGTCGCTCTAAAATACCAACTCATGATGCATGAACATTGATTGTGATTGATTTTTTTTTTTTTTTTAAACAACTCCACATTTCATCAGAGCAAAGACAACAGTGTATGTTATAAATAACCCACTGACTTCAGTCCTGAGCCGTGAAAAACCAAAGAACCATGGAGAACCTTGGAGTTTCCAAACATAAAGTTTGCTCCATCTTGCATCATGTGAGCACTTGGTGCATGTAGGAAATGCTATATCACGATATCAAGATTTCATTTCAGTTCTCTGAAACCCAACGCAGACTACACAACTTTGGCGATGAGTCTCCTGTCCCACACACGTTTTTGAGAACTGAGACTGAAACCCTTTTTTTTTTTTTTTTTTTTTTTTTTTCTTCCAGAAAGGAATCAACGATTCTCTCCATCACTAAACTTTGTCTAGGTCGAGCTGTTCTGGGACACATCTTGACCTTTGCTCTTGAAATGTCCCAGACACTTAAGTCGGTAAACATCAAACATGTTTGATTGTGTCGTAGCCAAAAGCAGGAAGCGCTTGTTGTTGGAGTATCTTAGAGACAAGTCTGAGCAGAAAACCGGGACAAAGGGCTTCAAAGAAGGCGAAGACCAGTATCACTGCTCTGTCTTATGTAGCCACAAGAGATGGACTGACGGACCGACTCTGATTTCGATTTATGACATCCGACATGCACTCCGGACACCGTTCCCTCCAGATGAAATAATCCTGCAGTCAGTACACCTCGTGTGAGATCAGTGGTGTAGGTTGTGAATCCCCCGTGTCAACAACAACCGTCTGGGACTAAACAACTTGAAGTGTGAGCAGTGCAGCAGCTCTGACGTCAATGAGAGTCTTACGGTCAGTTTCCAGTTCTCCACCAGATCTTTGCTGTTCAAGAACGATTTAGGATGGAATCTGGTTCCTTATAGGATCGTGTTGAATAATAACTAACCTCTGCATTAAGAAGGACACGCAGTTTCTCCAGTCAACAAATCCAACAGCTCCACAATGAAGAAGTCCAGACTGTCACAGCACAGGTGAGGAGGCTCGCCAACATCCAAAACTGCTTCTTCAGATTGTCTTCTGTATCCGGCTGTTGCACCTTTAGGGTTTTGATGCCTTCATGGTCTGCTTTAATGTTCAGCTTGGAGTTGGATCTCCCGTCGTCGTGGATCATCTTCTTCCCGTCACTCTTTCACACTGTTTATCCATCCGTCCCTTTCGTTGAGCTCTGTGCAGCGATCCTTCCCTTCCTCCTCTGATCCAACCATTAACTTCAAAGAATTTCTCTCTTTCTCTTTCTTACCATCCTCAGAGGCTCCCTCCTCCTCTTCCTCCTTCACCTCCTCCTCTTCTCCTGATCTCTCCATACATCTGGAAGAACAGCTCCATGTCTCTCTGCAGCGTGGAGTTTCGGCGGTCCGCGTCGGCCTTGGCTCGCTCCATGTTCCGGATCTTGATCTCGGCGACGCTTTGGCTGCGCTTCTGCTGCTCCAGAGTGACCCGGAGAACGGCAACCTGCCGCTCGAGGACGTCATTGCAGCGCTCCAACCTGCAGCACACACACATAGACATACATTGGGGTCGAGTTTAGGGCTCTGTGCAGGCCAGTCAAGTTCTTCTACACCAAACAGGTAAAACCGTTTCTTTATGGAGCTTTGTGCATGTGGGGCGTTTCTGCCGCGGCTCAGAGGACTCTGAGACACCAGTAAAGGTTTGTCTTTATGAAGATGGCAAAAGGCAAAATCCAAAAACAGGCAGGTAATCCAAAACAGGTATAACAGGTAAGAAAGGCTGGGACACTATGGAGTAGTAAGAACAATAGACAATCTGGCAAGGGATGAATGGAAATTGGCCTATATATACTGTATATATATATATACTCAGAGGTGATTGGGGAAATGAGAACAGGTGGGCAGGGAAGAGTCAGGTGGCAGAAAGGCGGGAAAGCCGGGGGTTACTGCAGGGCAGGAGGGAGTGGCAGGGTCTGAAATTGACAGAAGAGTTAGTAATATGGAAAAGGAAGGCAGAAAAAGAAAGAATGAATGAATGAATGAATGAATGAGCTGTGACAAACTCCCATGTTGAAACAGGAATAGGTATTTCCAGACGTGCACACTATTGTCTGTAATATCACTGAATGCTGTAGCCTTACGATTTACCAAACTTGGATGTACAGGGAATAGACCAGAAGTATGTGGACAGAGCTTTCCACACACGTGTAGCTGTATTGTGAATCGACAGTTACTTCTGCATATGATCATTTTGATAACAATAGAAGAAGACATGACTTCTCTGGAACTACCAATCTCGAGAAAGTTTAACTAAAAGTAAAAGGCTTGTGTGGAGGACTAATGTGTTTACAGTGTGTGATTATTGATGAGGATGCCTTCTTCCTTCTTGTGCTGGTGTCTCACCTCTGTATCCTGGCCTGGTACTCAGCCTTCTGCTGGGCCATCTGCTTCTGCAGCTCAGCCAGGAGTGAGTGAGCCTCCCTGGGCTGTGACTCAGGTTCAGGCCCCTGGAAGTTTGGAGGACCAGAGGGGAGGAACACCTCTGAACTGCCTGTGCTGAGAAAGCTGTCACTGAGTACAGAACAGGAGGCTGGGGAGTTAGGGTGGTGGATGCCATCATCATCATCATCATCGCCGTCTTCATCGTCATCGTTGTTGTTGTTGTCTTCATGGCCGTGTTTAGCGCTGTTTTCCTCCTCTGCTACCTGACTCGAAGGTAACCTTTTAGGTTTCTCTGGTGACATGTCAGGACTAACGGCTCTCGCAGCATCACCGCTCTTGTCCAATGGTAGAAACTCACAGGAGGACCACGAAGAGGAGGAGTCCCTTGTTTGCCCAGCTTCCTGTAGCTCTGCTTCCTCTTCACAAGTTCCAATACGGCCTCCAGGATTGTTGGTTTCAAAAGCTCCTCCAGGGACATCCTCCATCCTCTGATGTAAAGCCACTCTGTCCATGTTGTCGTAAGCAGAAGGGGTACTATCCTCCTGAGCTTCACTGCTGCCCCTACTAGCTGTTTCTGGCACTGCAGCCGCTTCCTCTGCAGCACTAGAGCTCCAGAAACCAGCATCTGCCTCTCCGGGGCCTGACCACGCCTCTGCCCAGCCCATGAGCGTCAGTCTGGGCTTGGAGGTGTCAGGAAGTGGGTCTTGTAGCTGGAGACTGGTTGTAGAGGCTTGAGCATTTGCAGGAGATGGTCCTTGGCCAGCATGATGCTGGTGATGCTGAGGGGACTGACTGGAGGAGGGCAGGGGGTAGAAGCAGTTCTCTGGGTGGGAGGAGGTGTAGCGATGGCCGAGGAGTCTCTTCTGGGCCCATGACGAGTCTGAATTGGCAGCAGCAGAGTAGATACAGCTACAGGAAGCAAGTAAAAAAAAGAGCTTAGACTATCAAGATGATCAACTCAGGGACTTTTTACATCAAGCAAGGACTACACCACAACAGTATGCGATAAAAGTTTGTGTGCATGTGTAGTCTACCTTCTTCCCAGGTCTTCACAGTGGAGGTATTTGTGTGAGATGTAGTGAGTGTTGGTTGATGGTGAAGCTTTGCTAGCGCAGGTCTGTTGTACCTGGGGTTCTGTGCATCTGTGGCGGGCTGTCCCGGCTCCCTGGAGCGCTCTGCGATGAGAGGCATAGACAGCTGGCGAAGGCAGGGCGTCGGGTGAAGATGAGGCTGCCTCAGAGCGCCCGGTGACGCATGCGGACCTCCCGGTGGACGGGTGGAGATGTGTGGCGCTACTTTGGCAAACAGAGACTCGTGCTCTCTGATCAGCTCCAACATCAAGACATGGACCAATGCTGCGCCTGGGACACAGATAGAGAGATTAAGATTTCCTTCAAAGAACCGTTTACACCCAATATCTTTTCAGCATGAAGCGCTAGCCGGCTAAAAATGTTTGCAGCTCACTTGCTTGGATCCATAGTGGTTAAAATGGACTGAAATGGTGACCCAGTTTCATTGTGAAAAAAAATAATTATATAAGCTATAATATAATGCTAAACATAAAACTCCTGCAGAACATATGCTAAGTGTGATCCAATTTATGTTTTTGCCATGTGATATCACAGATGCTACATCAATGTTTTTTTTTAACAGGACATAATTTTTTTTAACAAAATTGACTCGTTCATTATTCGTATGGTGCTGTGGGTCAGTTTGTTCTGTCTACCTCCCATGATGCTTTGTGGGTCTTCAGCTTTGGCTCGAAGGATGTTTGGCCCAAACACAGTGGCCAAGTTTTGGTCGCTCATCTTGTTGCTGCCAGAGTAACTCTGGACCTCGTTCAGAAACCTGTACACACACACACACACACACACACACACCCTCACTTAAGCAGATAAAATAAGTGGTATAGGATATAGCTATTTAAGACTGGTGTTTGTGATACACCAGTCACGATTCCCTACTTACTTGCTATTGTTTTGAATACTGAATTCATTCAACAAATGTATGTGCCATATTTAAGATTAACCATTTATATCCACTTTTTCCATTAGTTATTTCATAGAACAAAACAAATACTTGAGAATGAAAACCTGGAAAGGATGGGTCTTACTGGCAGATGAAGTTCAGCAGGTTGAAGTTTGCAACTGGCAACTCATGAAGAAGATTCCTGAACTCCCCCAAACCCTGAGGGAAGACAAAGGGAGGGGGAACGAGAGGATGGGAGTTGGGAAGGGGGAAGAGAAGAAGAAAGAAAGCAAAGATTGTTGCCAACACACTAAATCAAAGTGAGCATGTTGCTGTCTGCATGTGTATGTGGAATTTAAAATGTTTTCAATCGTCATATATAGCTGCAGTTACCTGTGTGCGGTCACTCCTCAGCTTCTGTCCACACAGCAGGAAGTCCTGGTAGCAGCTGTGAGGAACCAGAGGCTCCGGCAGCTGTCTGAGGTACAGCTTCAGTAGTGATGCCACGGTGTGGACGTCTGTGCTGCTGCACGCAAAACACAACGAGTTAACTTTTTTTTTTTTTCACAAAAACTTTTTGAAGAACACTTGATCACAAAACAGTAGAGACAAAAAGCGGACAGATTGCACCTGTCAAAGGACGGCCTCTCCCCTGAATCAAAAGCCTGCTGCAGCTCTTTCACCAGACTGGCCTGTCCTGGCTGACGAAACAAGCCCACTTCATGGAGGCCACGCTCCCGGATGAAGGTCACACACTGCTCCACCACCAGAGGAACCAAACGCACCCCATAACGTCGCTCATACAGCACCGTCTCCTCCAGACGCTGACCAAAGACCCCTGCAAGAGAGGAAGATTATAGCGAGGACCAATCTCTGGGACCAAGGTCCACTTCATCCAATCAGAAACAAGATGACTCAAGCTGCAGCTGCTTTCTGTGTAATGTTTCCAGAATCAGAAACCCATGGATTATTTTAGGGAAAGAATCCAAACATGGTGTGTTCACCTGTAAAAGGGATCCAGACTCCCTTGTTGAGGCTCTTCAGCCACTCGTCACCCTGACCGGCGCTGTTGGACAGGAAGAAATACGAGCCTGGGCTGGCCAACACATCTCTGTTACCTGCGTACACACAAACATGGCCACTTTTAGGGGTTTTGTCCCCAAGTCAAGCCTCAAGTTTTTATAACAAGGTCAAAGTGCAAACTATGATGAAAGTCTGCGTTGACCACGGCGATGAAACAATGGGAATAGATTTGTGTGAGTTCAATTTTGATGTACTAGAACTACTAGTATTTCCATTTTATCCTAATTGATACTAATACTTTACTACATTTCATAGGCAATTATTGTTCTTTTGACTCCCTACATTGATCTGACAGCTATGGTTTCTACTGTAGGTTCCTAGCTTTTGCTTGTCACCCCTTACAAAATTGTAACTGGGGCTCCTTGTCACATTTAATGTTGTCATTTACACCAAAGATTCATTTTCTCCAAACTACTTGTTGATTTTGATTTGGGCAAACAAAAGTAATTATTATTGATTTGCAATCAAAATCTATACTATTATTATTATAAAATATTATAATTTATTGATTGTTGAGTTCAATCTCAGATTAAGAAAAAAATGGGAAGAGAAACGGAAAAATTATTTAAGCATAACTGCAAAAACAAAAAATGTGAGAGTATGGTTTATTGCTATGAAGTACCTGTGATGTTTGTATAAGCAGAAGAGCCTCGATCTAAATGAAGAAGCAGTTTCATGTTTGACCACAAGGTGGCATTATTTCAGTACAGTTACTGCAGCTGCCAGTACAATCACCACATGAAGTAGTGTAAACTATAAGAACAGCATCAGACCAAAGCAGAGAAACGCTTTATTCTCTGTGATGTATCATTTAACTTCTGCAACAAGAATAAATATGCAAATATCTTCCAGTCAGTTTGCCAAGCACTAATTCAACAGGGATTACTTTGTTTTGTGTTTTGTTATCTCACCATCCCATAGACAGTGGCAAAGGAAATATCAGTGGCATAAGTGAACACAATCTGCAGCTTTGGATCAATGTGAAGATCAATTTTTCTGAGTTCTCAACACACCCACACACACACACACACACACACACACACACCATAAGCTCCACCCCACCCCATCTCCCTGTCTTCATCTCTCTATGATGCACAGACTCGTTAACACACTTTGCTCTCTTCTCCCCCATGTCCCATCATGCCTCACTGTCTGTCCTCCTCAAAGTCACATCAAACACACATGTATGTATGAAGCACATACATGCACACACACACACACACACACACACACACACACACACACACACACACACACACACACTGTCACCTCAGATTGAATGCTAAAGACCCTGAGTCAGCATTTAACTGGTGTCACTCACTCAAGGGCAACACACACATACACAGCGTTCTGGAGGGATTAACAAATAGTGTGTGTGTGTGTGTGTGTGTGTGTGTGTGTGTGTGTGTGTGTGTGTGTGTGTGTGTGTGTGTGTGTGTCACCTTTGTGGCCTGTACTGTCATGTTTCCAGGACTTGAAGCAGCTGAGTCCCATGCTGCAGCACTCCTGCTCCAGTTGCTACGGTAACAGTAGTAGATGCTCAGCCTAAATTACTCCGATGTGACGATGTGAAAGTTCAGGAGGAGAGACACGAGCGGTGCATAAAAACTGCATCACTTTTTTAAGATCTTTTTTTTGTCAGTCTTCTGTCCCTGTCAGAACCCGGAGTCTCGGTTTTATCCAGCAGGACTTCAAGTGTGGGAAGATGTTGGTCTTGAACACTGTGGTAGATGTATGACCATAAGTAGTTTAAGGGGGAATCCTTAAATAAGAGACATTCTTGATTGAGGTTCCTGGATGTGTCAGCGTGAGGGATGGATTAAGGTGAATGAAGTGTCTTTTTGGAGCACACGGTTACAGAGAGGCCCTTGAGGTTTAACCTTGAATTCTTGGTGGATATCGTCTGAAAAGAGCTTGAAGGAGTGTCTTAAAAAGAGACTCCAGTTGGATAACGAAAGGTTCCTATGGATCGTAGAAGTTAGAGATCCTTAAAAAAGAAAGGCGAGATGCTCTGATGGATATTTAAATCTTAAAGACTTCTCAGTTCCAGGATATTAAACTTTAAAAAGAGGATTTTTGTGGATATTCTGGTAGATATACAAATCTCAAGTTGGTCTACATGGACACAGAGCCTTATAGAGAGGATTGTAGTAGATAGAGAGCTTGTCCTTGATACATGTCTTGAAGAGAGGTTTCTTGTGCATGTGCAGCCTCACAGAGAGATTTTAACCTCAACCCAGCCTTAAAGAGAGACCCTTGGATGCAGGATCACACCTTCAGGAGTGGTTTACGGTGGTGAGTCTTTAAAAGAGTTGCCATGTGGAAACACACTGTAAACAGAAGATCTTCGCGGATAGCAAAGGACTTTGAGGAGAGATTCTTTTTGGATCGGCCTTTAAGAGAAGTTCCTGTTGAGTATGAGAGAGAATAATGTCCCAGGATCAGACAACTCTTCTCTGATTATTCTTAAAATCCCTTTCCCTGCTCTCCGTGGAGATCTCCATTTGCCATGGATGCGCAGACGGTGTCAGTCGATTTATTTCCCGGACAAAGGCAACATTTTCTAGCACGTAGTATTTCCAGCCTCCTCTTCACAGGAGCCATCTCTCCAGAGCCGCTGAGTGATTTCCTGACAGAAAGTTCAAAACTTGAGAGAAAATGATCACTACATACATGCTACAAAGGGTTTCAAGACATCCATATCCAGAACCCCAGATACCCAGTCTTCATTTGTCCTTTCGATTGCTTTAAAGAGGAGAGACTTAGTGGAGAATGAACCTCCTCACACCAGGAGCCGGTTGTCTGACTGTGCTTGCTATCGTTGCAGTATTTCATGATGACCGACTCACTGTCTGAGACACTGGATCAGCACTATTCCACCTGTTTCTGTCTATTTCTCTCTTTTTATATTATATTTTCTCTCAGCAGCTGACAAAAAGTAAAACCATCCCGAAGGAACATTTGACTCTTTTTCCCGTCTCGTTTTTTTCTTCTACCGGCCGGCGAGTCAAACCAGTCCATCGTCCATGAGGAAAGATCTTAGTATTCCCCCCTGTATCCTCCCACCCTCCTTCTCCTTGTCTCCCTCTCTGTGTCCTTTGCTTTATTAGCTCTTTAACTGGACGTCCTGCTCCATTACCAGAACACAGTCTCCGCGTCTGAATGTCCACGTCCTCATCCTCCCCATCTCTCTTCTTCCTCCTTCTTTTTCCTTTCTATATGTCTCTCCCGTTGTCCATCTCTTTGTCCCGTCTAGCATGTCCTTCTCTCTCAGTCCCACTATCTCACTTTCTCTCTCTCTCCCCATTTCCCAGCAGTGTGTGTGCCCCCTTGTTGCCCCCCTCCCCATTTACCTCATCAATAACCATGCTCTGCAAGTGTGTGTGTGTGCGTGCGTGTGTGTGTGTGTGAGGCCTGTGCATTAGGAAAATTGGTTCTCTGCGACGCAGCGCTGTTTTACCAAAGTAATCACAGCTGATGGTGAGAGAGAGAGAGACAGAGAAAGAGAGAGTGAGAGAGAGAGAGAGAGAGAGAGAGAGATGATCTGGCTCAAAGTCTGCGGCTGCTGAAGTATGGTCTGCTACAGCAGACACACACATACGCACACACATACGCACACACACTGTCACCATGATTCAAGTGGACATAAAAGCGAGAGAGGCTGGTCAGCCCAGTCAACTTTTGAACTCAATTAAAGTATGAGGAGCCTCTCCCTCGCTTTCTCTCTCTCAATACAGTTCAATTCAATAAGCCTCATTGGCCTGAAGTACAATACAGTATATAGTACAGTATGTTGCTGAAGCTTTGTTATTAATCAATATAAGCAATCAAAGATTACCAATCGTCCAGCCTACAGGGTAACAAGACATATCACCAAAAGTATGTGGACTCGTGCACATCACCGCCACATGTATTCAATGAACATCTTATCCCAGAACTATGGGCGTTAATCTGCTGCAATAACAGCCTCCACTCTTCCGGTTTCAGGGTTTACACAAGAACCTGGCTGCAGGGATTTGCTCCACTTCAGCCACAAAGAGCCTGGCTCACATTTCCGGTTCATCCCTCAGGTGCTGGACGGGGACGAGGTCAAGGCTCTGTGCAGGCCGGTCAAGTTGTTCTACAACCAACAGGGAAAATCATTGGGCAGCACTTTACATTACAGCTCGGTTATAATGTAATATATTATTACCAAAGTAAATCTGGGTAATATTGGACTGAAATGTATGTAACAGGGTGACAAGGGGCCAAAAACAAATTTCAAAATACTAAATTCAAAATTATTTAATAACAGTATAGTAATATTTTGGAAACAATATGATAACTTACTAATAATAAAAGTCGTATCAGTTCAATATTTGGATTTTAAAAAATGCTAATAGAGGTAAAAAGAGGTAATCATCAAAAGGTGGTAATTAAATTATCCTCCCTGAGCTAGCTAACGTCAGCCACTTAGCTCGCTAGCAAATGTTAGCTGTTGAAGTTTGCATTACCTTAAAACCATCTCCTGACTCAAACATCCTCATATGACTATAGCTTCACTTAATTTCACATGCGTCTCTAACAATAACATATTTTCATTACATTAAGATAAGCTTAAAAAAAATCCAAAAGTTTGTGCAGCTCTATAATAAAAAAGTCTTTGACAGGAAAACAAAAATAGGTCATTTTAAGTGCGACGGACTCACAGCCCAGTAGATATTAATACTATACAGTAAGTCTGCCTGTCTGTGCGTCTGATTGACTCAATTCTAATCACAGCTGAGAGCTTTCACATCTGTCTGTCAATACAACTGGCACTGGACTGCATGCTCTTCATTACAAAGTGCTGTGTGTGAATGTGTGTGTTTCTGTATGTGTATGTGTGTTCGTGTGCTCTCCGCTAAATGAAATTTGTCGCCTCCTCTCCTCTTCACTTTAACTGCATGTCTGTAATAAATCACAAGCATGGAAATATTTCTTACTAGAGGCCGCCAGCCTCTGTCTCTGTCAAGAAGCACTGACCCGGCTATTTGCATCTCCCAGAGTAAACACAAAGTCTGGCAACAGCACCCCCAAGTGATCACACACAATAACTACAATTTGAATCACTCAGCGTTTTTTTTCAATTGCTAACAAGCATTGGTCAATACATGCGTTAGCAACATGCATCTTGGCCAAACGTCTAATCTCACCCCCAAAACTCAAACCACAGGAACCCTTCATAAATGTTCAGTTCTCCCTCAGAATGCAGACTCTGTTGCTCATAACACACTGACCTAAAAAGACACAACAGAGAGTATTATATAAATGATGAACTTTAATCTTTGAAGACTGAATGATTTTTCACATAAATCAGAATTTCATTATCGAATACGAATAACAACTTTTCACTAAAGGTGTTACATTCCCCCCGTAGCTGAATATTAATGATTGTGTTTATGTGCTGTGTCGCTCTTTGGCCTGTGTGGACATCTGAGGACCTGCAGCCAGACCTCCAACCTATTAGTCCACCTGAGTTTATGAGGACCAAGGAGCCGCACTTCCCTCCCTCTCTCTCTCTCTCGCTCTCTCTCTCTCTCTCTCTCTCTCTCTCTCCCTCTCTCTGTGTGTGAAGAGCTATTTGTCAGAGGTCAGATATTAGGCCTCCCTCTCTCCTGCATTTGGCCACAAGTTCTCATCAACATCACATTTTATGTCTTCTCTGGCGATGCAGCGCGGAAAGTATCTTCTGGAATGTCGAATCGAGCCCTGGCAGTCTTCAGGAGAAGTGTCTCCACACCCTGCACTCATGCCATCCAGTAAGGACATCTGGTCATGTGGATGGTGGTCATAAACCCTCCACTTTCGCGCAGAGAAAAACCCGTCTATGGGGTTCAGGAAGGGGGTGTATGGAGGCATGAATAAGCGAAGTGGTCTAACGCCACATTATTCCACACAACAACAAATATTTTCTTGCCCCTTGACTTCTCTCCTCCGCTGGCACGAGTCGATTATGTAGGTCATTCAGAAAAGAAATCAACTTCTACCTCAAGTCTCTATTGTAGGTGCTAGTTTGTGTAACAGCAAACCACTCACTGGACAGTGCTGCACACATTGAGATGTTAGCTCCTCTCTGGCCTGGGATATCCTGGGTTGCTCTCTGTCCAATCACGTTTCTTCCCCTGCAGCATTTTTGACAGGTTGAATCCACACAGGTGAACGTATGTATAGTTTGTGTGTCCATCTCCATTACTCTCTAAAAGATAGTAAATTCAGTTTCATAGTGCTTTATATTATGCATAGCTGTGTATGTACCTTGTTTTGTTATTGAACAGACATCTTACCTGGGCATTATTATTGATACCAGACTTCTCAATGTAACTGCTGGATTTATATAATATATAAAATGATATGATATAGTATATAAAATTGTACATATGCAGTCAAATGGCATGCTGTTGGCTGTACAGTACATACTGTCGGAGTCAGTCAGTCGTCACCTGCAGCCGCTGCCAGGTTGACTCCACTCCACG